GGTAGAAGTTCCCACAAGTGGGTTTCCATTTCCTGGCAAATACTCTCCAGACTCCCTTCAGTTGCCTGAATGGGTTTTCACTACTCCTCTTATCTCCACTTGGGTGCTCACACACGCTGGTAGCCATGCCAGTCCTCTCCTTGCTTTTGCTGGTTTTCCTGATGTGCCAAAAAGACAGGCCAGCAATGGAACACACATGTCCCCCTGGGCCGCACCCCCGCCTGCCCCTCCACACTCGTTCTCCTTCCTTTTCATATTCGTTGAAATCCTGGCTCCTCTGTGTGGACTCAAAATTAATTTCTTAATAGCTGGACGGCAGAAAATGACCATGTATGTCCAAAGCCACCCAGTGCAGAACTGCGTGGGGTACTCAGAGAAAAACAGAATATATCTGTGGCCCCCAGGATCAGGGCCGGGGCCCAGCTTTTTGGCCATTAGCCCAGCTCCCTGCCTCGGCACCCACAGTTCAATGGTGCAGTCTGGGGACAGAAACCAGAGCCTTATTTAAAAAAGAGGAGAGCCAGAGAGAGAGGTTATATAGACAGTGAAAGGACCAGGGATCTCAGCTCCCTGGATGGGCCTACTAGGTCTTTCAGGATGAAGATCAGAAAAGGAAGTGGCAAAAGCTCAAAGCAGGTGCTCAGAAAAGATACAAAGGAGATGAGAAGGGGGGATAAATGGCAGGTTGTCGCTCTCTCAGGCCTCGTCATTGGCAAAGTAGTCTTCTGAGTGTCTAGGAGCCGTCGTGGTGATGAGGGGTGGGTGGCCACGGGAAAGAAAGTGGGAGCAGAGTGGAGGTGAGGACGTTGGGCCTCCGGATCCATGGGGTCTGACCTTGGGGCCCTCTTGTGTCCTCATCTCTAGGGCCTGGGTGGCCCCGCTGTGCAGTGAGGGAAGGAAGGGGTCTCTGATCTACAGCCCTCCAATTCCACTACGTGACAAGAAGGGAAGCCTCTGACATCTTGATCCTCCAGGAGGCAGCCACTGTCTCCAGAACGTTCTGTGCATGACTGGGTCTTCCCTCCCTGCTGCTCCCTTTACTACCTGTTTTCTTTCTCCCGAATAATGCCCATTGCCTATCCTCATGCCAACTCTTCTGGTCA